GACTGACTGTTTCTCAATCAGAGTCGTATACGGAAGGCAGCACTCGGCAGCACACGCCTGTTTTCACGGTCATTCCATCTTCCAAGTGCGCAATTTGTCATCATATAAAGCACCTAACTCTAAAATGTACTCGATTTTAAAAAATGTGACTATCCCCATTCAAAAATAAAAGTTATAATTAAATTTTACAGAAATTTATAGATAAAAAACTTACAGTAAGCAAAAATAAAATATCTTAACAAATTAAATTGATTAAAAATGCCTAATGTACATATAAATTAAAAAAAGTCAATAATTGAGAGCAGAAAAGAAACATCTTGTAGAGATCAATTTTTTTAAATACTGTTTTTTAAAATAAAATCAGAAAGTTAATTGGATAATAAGATTTCACTTTTACACCCTTGAAGATCGAGTGCTGCGCACTCGGAATTCTAAACAGCAATCAAGGACTAGATTTTATTTAAGAGGAAGACTAATATTGATCTAGGAACATATTTTTATACATGCATTATCACTTCTTACTAAGAATAGCTGATCAATTCTTGGAAGAACGCGTTATGTCAGTATTTCGCACGGAATCGCCTTTGAGCATCATTGTCTCGGATCGCACGAAGAACGGGCGGCGAGACGGCGCGTGCATGGACGAAACGGGCACGCGAAGACACGGAGGACGCGAGTGGTGGCGAATTTACGGTAATGAAGCGATCGCCCGGGTGGTCCCGAGCGTGAGACGTGCGTACGCACGTTCCTTCGTCGTTCCCGATGCGAGACGCTTGCCAAGAGAACAAAGAGAGGCAAGAACAGAAATCTCTCTCTCTCTCTCTCTCTCTCTCTCTCTCTGCTCTCCTCCTCCTCTCCTCTCCTCTCTTCTTTCTCCTCGAGGACAACTGTAACTGCGGCGTCGTTCAGCTCTCGGGTCATAGCGAGCCGAATTAACAGCACCGGAAATACGAAGCAACGTGCACGCGCTCGAACGCATTATGCGCACGGAAGAGAAACGACGCGCGAGTTTACCACCCACAATCATTTGCCAAAACGTGCCTTCCCCCATGATTTCTACGCGGCGTGCACCGGAACCCCGAGACGCCAGACGTCAGAATATTTGAGATGGGTTCGCCTCGAGCGCTAAGAGAACCAATCGCCGATCTTTCAGAGAAACGTCGTCGACGTTTATGTTCGCGCGATCTTCAAAAAGTTAAAGAATCTCTCCTTCTTAATAAGATTTCTTGCTTAAACTTGCGGACAAATTTCTAAGATTTTAATTTTTTTTTATTTTGGCTTGCTAAAGTCATTTAAAGAATGAAAGCTATGTGTAACATTATGTTAATAGCTATAATTTAAATCACAAAGAAATGCGATTTAATTATAATGTTATTTGTTTCAAATTGAATTTTATCTATGTTGTACAAGATTTTAGTATCTCAGAAATTCATTCATATCAGGCTTACATTGTACACGTTCGTGTTTCAATTAATATTGCATTTCACATGAAATTATTTAATTCGCACATTCAATTAATAAGTTATCAACATGATTATCGTTGGTAGCAGGCTTACATTGGAGCAAATGCTACTGAACATGCACCTCGTATGCGGTAAGAACCAATTATCAATTAGTTTCTCAAAAAATATATAATAAGATTAACCTCGTATTTGCGTGTGATTTAATTATTATAAGTCATATTATTTCATTACAAATTAAAATGTAAAATTTTATATATATATATATATATATATATATACTTATGTATATTTTCTATAGAGCAATTTTATATTATTGTGTTTTGAAAATTTTATTTTTCTTCATAATTATTAAATCATGATGGATGTATATATACACACACACGCACATACACACACACATTCATCATTATGATTTAATTATTACAAAGAAATAAAATTTCCAACACACAACCAATATGAAATTGCCTTATATAAAGAACGATATGCTTAATTTATATCTTTATTTTATATCCTCTTATTAATTTTTCCAATCAAGTAAATCAATTATCGAATAAACGCAGACACTTGTTGCCATGAACCCAGTTAAGTGACCATTCAAGGTATGCAATTAGCCGCGTCGAATTTAAAACTCTGTCATGAGCGAGAGTCCGTTCTTTCTCCACGATTTCTCCTTTAATCACCGACCGCCAATCCTGAATACACAGCGCTGCGAAATAAGGAAATGTCGTTTACCTTCCAAATACCATTTTCGAATGCCAACGAGCGTAGGCGCCCGCTGTAAGGCTATTTTTGGCACGTTTCGCGGCGCTTCGCGTAGACGCATTCGCGAAGGTTTCCTTGAGGCAAAGGATCAACGCTTTCGATCTTCCAGACGCGTGACACGAGGAGACGCGTGAAAGAAAAGAAATTCCGGTCGATGTGTAAATTAACGTTATTGCCTGATAAATTCTGCCGATACGAGCACCGTGTCCTCTGAAGGATCAACCAAAAAACCAAGTAGGATAAATCCAGAGAAAGATCGACGTAAAAGGCAGCCTCTTTGCGATACCTTCTTGCGATTTTCACGGCATCAGCTTAGTCGGTTTTGGTCTTCTTATTCGCTAATTCCACCTTGTCGTCCTTTCGCGTTTTCATTAGAGTTCAAGGATATCTAGGATATTAAGTGGCGCCTAGTGTTTTCACCTCCGAAAGTACTACGGGGCCTCTTTCACCGTCTCTCTTTCTTTCTTCCCCATTTCGGCCGCGGCACGGCACCGGTAACCGATCCGATCCTATCAAGGATGCAGTTAATTACACGTCGCGCAACAGCCGAGCCACAAAGCCATCAGGTCTCACTCAAAGAGATTAACAAAAGAGCGGTACGCCGGGACCAGACGGGCGTCCGCGCGATAGGCTATTCGCATACCTGCCGGCTATTAACCGTTGATGCGAATCACCGTTTTATCCTCGAATTATACAAATCGGGTATCGCGTCCTTTGTGCGGGCCGATCGACGACCGAGGGAGGAGAGCGAGAAGTCGGGTGATCGCGCGAAAGGTCGTCCTTTGACCCGCGCCCGGCTGACCGAGTGGTCAAACATTGTTCTCGCATTAATGAAATATTCCCAAATCAATCGAGTAAATGCGACATTTAATGCGGTAACCGACGAAAAATTCAGTCCGACATCGTTAAGCGCTTACGCACGTGTCACGTTTTTCGCGCGACGCACTTACGAGAATGTTTTTAGTAGCGCCCTCGCGCACCGCGAGAAATAATTGCGACGGATATCGCCGTGGAACGTCTTCATATTTCTCCGCGAACGCAAACATTCCCAACACTCGGGGGCAGGGCACCGATAATTAATACCTTTATTACCATAATAATAAATAGTTTTTATACCTCGTAAGAAATCGCCGCTAATTACGATACTCGAGCATTACTCTTCCTCGATCATATAACGCAATCCTTATACGTTATCCGTGTAGCACTCAGGGATATCCCTCGCACGCATATAGCAGAGGAGAGAGGAGGAAAGCGAAAGAGAGACAGGGAACGGAAGACGAGCAAGAGCATGGGCACGGTGCACAATGTTCGGTAAATCATTGGACATTTATTGCGGTTAATTAGTCGACTGACCAGTCCCGTCAGACTGTTTTGCATGTACCATCCGAAGCGGGAGAGCCACACGCGTGCGCGTGATGGCGCCGAGCAAAGGTTAACACGCGTCTCCATTCCGTACGAGCAAAGTACGAGGAATTGGACGTTATCTTGAACGTCATCAGAATTTCAAGAATTTTATTCAACCTTTCCCGGCTACCTAACGACGATTTTGGATGGGAATTTTAGTAATTGCATTTCCTCCGTTTTCGTACACAAACTCTTTCGTAATCGATTAAGATAAGAAGCACGGAATTGTTATGGTTATTCTATCGATAGCCACATAAATTTCTTTCATTCCTTACTTTCTGCAAGTGTAAAGATAATTTTAAAATTGCGAAAGATAATATTACTCTATTACTTTTTCCAAATAATCTTTTCAAAATACAATTTTAAAATTGTAATTTTCTATAGCTTTTCTATTAACGTTACAACTTATTAAAAATAGCAATAAAAATATTTCCATAGTTTTAAATATTTATATACATCTTCGATGTTAAAGATATCAAAGGACGCAATGAAAATTGAAAATCATTTCCTCATTGTTTCAAAAACCACGTCTGTATAACAAAGCTAAAGTAGAGAAAGTCGCATCATCGTTCATTTTTGATGACTAATTAAAGCTAAAAAAAATTATCGAGATGCTCGTCGTATAAGATCAATCGTAACTAAATTCATTATTCGCCGCAATATAAATTAAGAAATTCCGGAAAACGATTCGCTGTATAACTGACGGTTTATGGTCTAAATTAGCAGACAAAAATGTCCAAAGAGAGAAAAAGGAAGAGAGAACGAAAGAACGATGAGCAATAAATTTCTGATGCGATATTCGCCTCTGGTTCTCGACAGCGGAATGCTGAGAATCAGAAAAACGGTACACGCTGAACTCGGCTTCCTTGTTAAAGTAACATGATTTGCGGGCGAATGATTAACCGGCCGTCACCTGCGCTATGCGAATCGCGCGCTGATCAATCGCCAATCGCCGTGAAGAGATAATAAATGTGAAATACGATTGGCATTAAGCTAGAGGTTAACGCAAGTCGTGCCAGAAAAGCTTCGCGTTGTCTTGCACGCGTGCCTGACATTAAATCCGATGTTAGTGGAGTCTATTACGATTCAATGGACGATTATTTCATGTCGGAGCAATCTTTCTTTTTAATTCAAGTCAATTTTTCTAAACTTTTTAAAATTACAATACAAAGAAAGATTACGTTAAGATTACGTATATTTGCACAAATTTGTAATTTTCAGAAATATATCCTAAATAGAAATTTTTTTATGACCGATATTATTATAAATTTAATAAACGTAAATATCGTGAAGATGAGGTAATACGTATATTATTGCAGTTATGTAAAAATGCATCTAGCATTTTAAATAAAAATGATATACTTAACTTACTTTGTAATTATGTCCATAGGCGGAATCTTCCTCCCTGGTATAGCAATCTTCTCGTATTTAATGCCGGCATTTGTAAATTCCTACAACAGAACCGTTAACATAAACAATCGCATGCATATTGTTGCGTAATGAAAGCAGAATATTCTCCGCCGAACACGTATTGAATTGAACGCGCATATAATTTGATCGACCAAGCTATTGTCCTGTTAAATCGCCCCGGCGAACTCATTAGCATCGCTAATTATCACACATAAAACCATCAATTACAAACAATGCGGATAATCATACGTCTCTAAGTGCGAGCGTGTCATTCGAATATTACGTAAACCGAAACGTTCGGAAACCGAAACAATCGAAACAATCGAAATCATTACATGCGAAAATTTGCAAGGGCGGAAAAGAAATATACGATCCGGTAGACTAATCGACACAAATGAAAGAGAGATTCACAGTCATTTGTATCTCGAAAAATATTCCTTAGTACACGCATGTTCGCCTAGGGGCAACAACGAAAGAGAGTTGCATATTCATGAATCTTTCTCTTCTGTCTCTATAGTTAATACTTTCGAATCTCAAACACGATATTAACAAGTCTAATTGCGAAGCAGACTACTAAATATAAATAATTGTAGAAAAAAATATAAACAACATTACAAATCTAATAATTAAAAAATAGAATAGAATAGTACGAGAATTAATAAAAAAACGAATGCGATATTTTTGCACAAAATATGTATGTAAAATTAACATTTACTATCAACTATAATATATATATATATATATATAGAGTAAAAAAATCGCATAACAATAACAATAATAACTTAGTGTAACTCTAACCCGAGTGATGTCAGATAACAGTTACTACTCGTTTTTCCACCCTGATGACAGATCACGTCATAATAATCAATCTTTTTGACTTTGCTTTTAGCGAGATATTAGAAACTCAATCCTGGTGATCGTGCACTATTGCGCTTAATGGCTATCTCGAACTTATTTTCTTTTCCTCGACCATCGATAATGCGTAAGAAATTCTTTCGCAAGTTCAAGAATATTTCCGATTCTCAGTCTTAAACAAAAGCAAAGTAAAACTGTAATAAATCAGAAAAAAGAATTAATTGTTGAAGGACCATAAACGATATTGTGAAAAATTAAATTTTTAATTCACTGCTCCTTTGAAAGAAAAATTCTCTAATCGTGTATTTGGTATCTTACATGTTTCCAAGGTTTTTTAAAAAGCTAATAAAAGTGGAAAAATCAGCGTATATCATACGTGTACAAATCAAAGGAATTTTGTATATGTAAATACATATAAAACCGGGAGAGTAAAAGACACATCTGATATTGACGATAAAAATCTTCACGAGGCGCTATGCGAGGTATCCTTTGTCTCTACAATCTTGTTTTCCACCGTGACATCGGGCAGGAAAATTAAAGGACCGACTAAGCGCTTCATTATACATGTATAATGCGCTCTAATTAGGCGTGGGCGACACCGAGAGATCTCTCTGTTAATTATCGTTGCCCCGCAGCGCGATTGATGTTCACGGCGGCGTGTATAATGTTTTTAAAACATATCCCCCCTGAGATTCCTCGCTCTCCTCGCGTGGCAAATGGCTGTCCAAATGTCGGTGGGGCCGGGACAAAAAGCGGAAGATGAAGCGACCGAACCGACTCTACGACTTATTAATATAATTGATCGGTCTTCGGTCCTTTTCTCTGACAACTCTGACCCAGAAAGTATCGCGGACACATTCCCGTTTGACAGAACGGCTCGGACGGCCGGTCAATCAGTCGATCAAGTCGTCGTAGCAGCCGACTATTCCAAAAATCTAATAATAAGTTCATTAGCTCGCGGTCCCTTCTACCTTCGCTACAAATTAGTTGGAGCGGTTTTCGAGCGTTCTCAACTCGGAACTGACCCCGATGCGATATTAGAACGCCAGGGAGGAGTGAAAAAGGGCTGGTGAAACCGAGAAAGAAAGGAAGATGATAGACTAACGAAGATAGACAAACCATGAAGTTTGAGAGAGAAAGAGAGAGAAAAAAAATCTGTATATCTGCTCGATCAAGGAATGCAGCAGGTGACAACTTATGAGAGAGAAGAGAAGACGTCTCTTGTTTCGAATTACTAAAAGGTAAGGGAGCGCGTGCATAAACATAGCGAATTACGACTTGAAATTCGAACGATACGCGATATGTTTCCGCATTAAATTCACGTGGCAACTTCAGTGTTATTTCATCAGACGATATTGCCTGCATGCGGCCTCTTTTTAATCGCGCGTAGCAATCTTAAATTTTTATTTATGTACTTTATGTTACATTCTGTATTATATTTACAATATTTATTTTAAAATCGGCATGTTTTGCGCCGATTTGAATTACCGAAATTAATGTAATACATGTGACTACCATCATTCACAAGTCAAAAATCAATCGTTCGGCTACGCTAAATTCAAGTTTAGATTTTATGCCCCTTACCTTTTTATCATAGTAGCGACATGTATTGGTCAAATCGACGATATACTTGAGATGAGGAAACTGTTGCAGCAATATCGCCGTAGTAAATCTGTAACAACGGACATGGCTGTATTATAATGTGCGCGCTGAGTAGCGTTTCGATTTATTGATCGCTCGCAAAATCGCTTGAATCACAAAACGCCTTTCTTCGCTCATAGACGTAGAAGAGAGATAGAAGAATTTAGTCAGTTAAGATGGTATACACGGAAAGATTCCTCTCGAGGGGTGCGATCTGTACGACTGGATGATATATTAAGGAAAGCAAGAAATCTGAGGTTCCAAGCAAAAGGGTCCAGATTAGGCGGGGGTGTCGGCCCAAATAGTTTCACCATCCCTTTCGATATATCAAAACCTGAGAGACGTACCAGGTGCATGCGTGCGTGCATGCGTGCGTGCGTGCGTGCGTGCGTGCGTGAGTGAATGCCTAGATACGGAAACGAGCGCGGCCATGCTATCCCTCGAACGAACGATTCCCCATAAATAAACAACCCTCGCTCGTGTTCGCGCTGAGATGTTATTAAAAAAAAAAAGCTTGTAAAATTTATTAGGATACTAGCCGATTTAAAAGCTATTAGCGGCGAGTTAGTGTGACTCGGCAGATTTATGTAACTAACCAAGTGAGAAGTATCACGTCTTCGAGCGCACCATTATAATCATTGCTATAGTTTTCACGATTTATTGACAAACGATTAATATCCTTTTTTTTTTACTGTCTCTTTTTGCGCATCCGCGGTTGTTTCGGTTACCGTGGGGATGCGACACGACTTCGTCGATCTCCTTAATGTGTTTTAGTACGCTCATGCATCATCTCCTGTCTGCAAGGAGAGAAATTCTGTACCGTGCTGTAAACGGCACAGATATTTGCGGAATGAAACAGAGGCGATCGGCTATGGTGTTTACACGAGAGGTGTCCGAAACGACAAGTCACTCACTGATACTCACTTTTGCTCTGGCTGCAGATTCCTGGCTATGGCCTGAAACAAAAAAGAAAACAACGCTCATCATCAGGGAAACGCAGCGAGAAATAATTAATAGTCTTTAGCGGCAGCCACGACTACACAGTGTTTCGGACAAAACTTTAAACGGCATCTCTCTAAACGACTTCATCTCGGCGATGATTACCACCGCCGCATACCTTCATCCCGTGGGACCTGCGCAGATGCATGTATGTACGCGATATCGCAAGTCATCCTCTATTTCTGGTTAATTAATAGCGCGAGCTTAATAGGCCGCACGAGACGATCGCGCGCCGCGATCACGGATCGCGTATCACTAAGGAAATGATTGATTGACTCGAATTTCATGTTCAATAACGATACAACGTCGGTGGTTGAACACCGATGAGAAATCCCAAAGGCACGCTCCTGCCACGGGCACGATGACTCGATGGTTGTAATACCGGTACTCCTCGATAGGGAGAACGTCGATATCGAAGACACATAATTTGCTGATTTTATCTCGTCGATATTGGTATCGTTATAGCAATTTTGTGAATTTTTACGAAAATTATTCGTAGCAATTAAATCGAAGAAGATGTACAGTTAGACAATCCATTTTACTTAAAGATATCGTAAAAAAATTTAATAAAAATTAAAATTTCAACGGAAGAAAGAATTAAGCTGTTAGATTTTTTGGAATGTATAAAAATTCACCTGAATAGTTCTGCAAGTTCAGAGAAAAGATAATATGACACGTACTATTTACACGCTTAGATTAACAGGCGTATACTAGGTGCAAGGTAAATTGAAACTTTCGTTAGTTGTATCGCTTGTACCGTCGCACCCGCTATGGGTGGGCTAATGGTAATTACGGGTTTAGACGTAGCTATCCGATTGGCTGGGCGGAGAGATCGTATCTACAGATGAGTACGGAATGAGTATCGGTCGCATTAATAACGGACTTATAGCTTCGTATCCGAACGTAATAATCCGACATTGACTAGGCGTGAGATATTTCCTTATTCTGTTTATGGATGCACTTGCTGTTCGTTTCGTTTCACATCTTGAATTCTTCGCGATTTCATAATAAATATGACATATTCGTAATATATACTTACATACATTATAAAATATAAAATATTTCCCTATATTTTTTAAATATAATAACAATCAATCAAATGCCGTTCAATAAATATTTCTGTTTTTAATTCAACATAATTTCTTGCTTTTTTTAAAAAAAATGTAATTAACGTTAATACTTTCAGTCTTTAGTATTACGACAATGGTAACGGTAGCAGGGCTATAACATAAACAATTCAATAATTGTGTATGGTGCGTATGATGTAAGGATGTAAGATTAAAAATTCACGACAAACAATGCTACGATGCAATCGTGTCTGGCGAATGCCAGCGTGCGCCTCGCCTTTGACGAGTCGAGATTCGCGTATTTACGCTCCAAGTAAGGACAGAAGGCGCGAGGTAAATGCAAGGATTTACGAGCCTTCTCGGGAGAGGACATTCGCGGCACTCCTCGATGGAAAGATCGGGAACGTGAATCGCGACGAACGGAGAAGACAGAGAAAGTCGAAGAGAGAGAAAGAGAACGGGAATGAAAAAGGAGAAGAGCAGAAAGGAGAAGGATAGAGGATGCAGGTAGCTTTGGACCACCTGTGAAATTTACTAACCCCGCTCGCGCCCAGAAGCAGTTTATTTTTCGCACGATATACTCCGTTCTTCGCGGTTGACAGCCGGATTGCTCTCTCCGCTGATTCCACCATTCAATTTCACGACCCTTAGTCTAATATATGGGCCCGTCTAAATCAGGATTATCGGACCGTGCCTGCATTGTGAATCTTCCTGACGGTTCGCACGAGTTCGCGCACAGCATCCGTCGCGCGTCGGTTTCCTGCTATATCTTCCAAGAAAATCAAAACCAATTTTCACTCTGGTATCGCAAAAGCCATCGACCTTAAAATCACTTGTTTCTATGTAAAATAACTTTACATACAAGATTCGGAATCAAATATTATTTCTCGTGCTTCTATTGTATTCTGTAGTAGCCAAATTTTTTACTTCGAGAAAAATATTTGAAAAATGATTTATAATAATTTCTTACATGAAATATCGATGAATTAAATAAGAGAAAAAAGCTTACCTTTCTTGAAAAATCAAGCAAAATAACTTTAGTTTTTAAAGGATGTACAATAAGCCTCTAAAACGAAGCTTTATTCGCCGACGAATTTAGCCAGCCCTGCAAAATATGCGCGTCTTAGTAAAAGATTTAAACCTGAATAAAAACTGTAGAGGTTTATTAAGTAAAATAACAGAGAAAATTGTATTTATCAGAAAGCATATCAAAATAATATTTCCATTAATATATAAAACTATATATGTCGTTATACAATGAAGAATTTCCATAAGCTATAAATATTTGCAAGAATGGGTGTTGATCAAATGCAACGCGGTACAAAGCTATCGAAAAAGTGCGATCTTCGTGCGCGACGTAGGCGTTGGTCAACGGTAGGTATCGATGATATTTATTGGAAATATTTACGAGGGGGTGAGCTTCCACGCCTTTGTATCGAGTGGGTCGTAATATTTTCAAGATCCTGGCTTGGTTATCCGAAATCGACGGCGTAATCTCGACGAAATTGGCGTGAGAACTTCGGTACAAAGGGTCTTAAAAATTCAGCGTATTAAAAACAATTAAATTTTTTAATAAATACGAACGAAATTTGTTGCGAACGAAAATTGTTAGAATAATTACCTATATACATAAATATATATAATTGTATATTTTCATAAAAAATATAGAAAAGTAAAGATATTTTTCTTTTTGTATTTAAATTTTAAAGTCATAATTTAAGCTAGAATAAATAAAATTATCAATAAAATTAAAAGTTACTTAAATCTAAATAAAAATTATTTAGATAAGATTCATTTAGATAAGATCATCATTTATATAAAAATTCTGAAAATGGGATATTGATTTCGTAAAAATAAACTGCTACTGCCTTAAATAATCCTCGTGCCTTTCAAAAAGATACAATGAATCGTAAATTAGTGAAGCAAAATTGGTCTAAAGCAAAGTAGGACGGCACAGCAATTCAAAGGTCGATGCGAACAATGGCGAACGAACAAGAGCACTCTCGTAATAGAAATAAGCGAAACGTCGTCAAATTCAACGTGTCACTAGGTTACCTCTTGAATCGCTCGTAAACTCCAATTTCCCTGAATAGACAAATGTGAAGAGCGACCTAGGCAGAATCAAGCTTTGTCCAAAAATTGTGTCTCGCTTAATACGTTCATTCATTGTCCTTCGAAATTGTCTTCATAAAAAAGTATTGTTCAAAATTTATTGTGTGCTGACTGTGAGAATCACAGTGCTATTTCGAAATATGTAATGTAATCTCTCAGAATACAAAATTTAATAATTTTATACTAGTAAAAAATTTTCCATTTTGTAATACTATTTAAAGATCATATCTAAAATCAATTTTTTAATATTTATAAATAGAAATTGCAATAATTAATGTTACCAATTAACTTAAAAAAATTTCTAAGAACAAATATTTAAATTATATAAACTCTATTTATATATTGCCTGAATTTAAAAATATCATTTTATTAATTATACAAAAAGAATTATCGAATGAATTATCTAAAATAAGAAAATATAGATTCGCTGTAAACAAAACTTAGAAAGAAAAAAAGGAAATTGATGATGACCTACGAGAGGAACATTTTACCGCATGAGAGAGCAAGCGACATATCTATGTGTTCATATAGAGTCGCGCAGGGAGGTCATATAGACTGCTATATGACCATTTCGAGCTGATATACGCGCGACGTTATTCATATCCACTTACTTCCTTTGGCAGAAAATTCGAAGTGATCTGAAATGGGTCACCTATGCGAATAGAAGACATGTACGAACATACAACGTGTCATCATTAATGACTTCTTAATAATCGCTAAGAGATCGCTAAGAGAGCACAACTGCAAACAAGCTCAAAGAACATTAAAGATTCGCTAGAGATTCAAAGATAAAAGACAAAAGACTCTCTGCATCCTCAAAACTAGAAATTAAATTCAGATTTATGATGTAATTAGACGTCAGTTTTATAATTGCTAATTTGTCGTTCTGACCTCAAACTTATTTTTCTACTTTTAATTATCTCCTTCAGCTAACAGAATATTTAGCTAACAAAATATTTCTTAACACGTCAGAAGTAATTTTAGATGCATATAATGTTTGATAATAAATGAAACGTGGATTCATCAATCTTCGCTTCTAACGTGAGTAGTAGACAAACTATTTTAAAAGCAGAATACCTTCGCGAGAGTCTATAGAAAATTGATTCTCTGTCCGAACATTTTCTGTAATAATAATCATACCTTTCGATATTCTATACCATTTCTACGGTTTCCCGATTTCCGAAAGGCTCTAAAGTTGATACAATGTCGATTAGCGACCACACCCCATTGTCCGCCCGACGAATTAACCATTAGCGGGATTTCAAAAGATATCATCAATCATTAAAATACGGCGGTAAAATACAAAGTATCACAAAAGTACTTCCGAATTTTACATAAAAAAATTTTAAAACACATAGTAACAAAGAGCCGTGAATGAAATCGCGCATGTCGATGTGAAGAAAGATTGATAAAATAACTTCGGCCAAAAAGGTGGCAAAATTCTCTCCGAGAGACAGGGAGAGCAAAGAGAGAAAGTGAATCGTTTGTATGGTACACGTCAAGGCTTATTCCTTAACGTGAATACTGCAAGCGTCTAGAAATTGATTACGGACGTCGTATTACCGCGCCGATACTGGCGGCGTTAGCCTCGCCATTCTGTGTGGATAACGAATTAGTACCGCTCCGACACGTGGCTTTATAGACTACCATCCGCGCGCCGCGTGTCTCCTATCACCGGCTATCGTCGACGCTCGGCACAGCACGGCGAAAGCGAGAACGTGTTTCCCGAGCATGTATAAATAATAGGGCCGCGCCGGCAGTCGCTATAATTCAATTCA